TATGTTTATCAGTAAGAGGTGTTTTCAAGAGCTTAGGTGACTAAGACCACTTACATCTCTGCAATGTAATTCACACAGGAATTTATTACAAGGGTTTATACACTGGAAAAAAAAAAAAACACATTGGATCTAGAGTACAGACTCTTGAAAACATTGACAAGAAAAAGTACTCTTGATTCAATCGGATTTTTGCTTAAATCAAGAACCAAGCCTCTTAGTTTCAGCGGATTTCCCTTGGATTTAAGCAAAAATCTGATTGAATCAAGAGTATTTTTTCCAATGTGTTTTTTTTAGGAAGGAAACATTTACTGATTTCGCGTCAAAACAAGCAACAGCAAACAAACAGAAACAAATATGAACACGGGGCCAAGAATCACCCGATGCACTTACGGCTCCTTCATTTTGGGAAGATATGCAATTCGATTTCCGGGGAGTTACTGTAGTTGATCGAGGTCAAAGCGAACTTAAACAATTTTTCGCACTCGAAGCTGTTAATGCTTATTAAATTGTTTAACCAACTGACTCAAAGCGCCTTCATTTCTTCATGATATGTATTTCGATTTCCGGGGAGTTGAAATAGTTACTAGAGATCAAACTGAACTGGTACTGACATTGCGCACAACTTTTAATTATTATTATATTGTTGAGCCGTGTTCTACCCGATTTGCTCATAATTTCCTCATTTCAAGATTAAAGTTGTTCTTAGATTTCGCTTGAAGTGGGGGCAACAATATCTAAGGCCACGATTTCACCATTTAACCGACAGAAAAATTTTACTCATGAACAGCTAGGCACCCTCCAACTCTGTCAAAATCAGATGTCCGGCACTCTGGCTACCAGCTTTAGCCGTGGATATGGTAGATAACATCAGTGCACCGGGGCTATTTGCTCCTCTTTTTCTCGACCGGCGCGATGATTCTTCGCGTCGTCGTGCGAATGGAAGATTTCATCTTTAGGAGCAGGGCTTAAAGTTTACTCTCACTCCTTTCTTCTTTTTGGAAACTCGTTGAATTATGTGCGAAATGAAGATTAAAGATCTTACTACCATTTTTAGATGTAGAAGCTACGATCAGTCTTGAATAGCATAAAATAAGAGAAAACCCTCTTTCTACCCGCAGCAGGTTTTGTCTCTGGATTATCAAAAATACGCTATGCAATCGTACCTAAAGTACTTTAAGTCAGTGAGTGCTGTAATACTGTGTGATACATTATGCGTCAGACGGGTCTCAAATGAAAGCTGGATCCCTAACTAGTGGAGTTTTGGATCAAAATACTCGTAAACTCTTCGAGACACATCATGTCCATGTCTACGAAAAAACTCTAGAGAGCTCTTCACCTCATTAATGAACAAAATTCAAAGTTTATGAGTCGTTTTTACATTTAGCCCTTCTAAGTTTCCGATTATCGGAGACAAATTTGGGTTAGCTAAACCAAAGTTCGACTTCTGTGAGTTTAGTTCCCTGAACCAATTAACTTTGGTGTACAATGTAAACCGGACTTCTTTCACCCCACGGCAGAAAATTTCGCTTCTAGCGTCTCTAAAGCTTATGGCGTCAAGTTCGAGGGGACAATGGGACATTGACCGATCCGTGGAAGTCGCCCCCAGCTCCTCAACACCGAGACACACTCGAATCTTACGACGATAGACATCACGTTTATGATGAGCAACGGTGACATTAATGCGTGGCACAGTGCGCTCGGCTGTTTGCGTTTCGGCCGGGCGTTCGTGCGTTCGCAAGGTTGTCAGGTCGTGCAATACGATATGTTTACCTCATGTGGGTTTAAATGGGGGGAGTGCTAATTTTTCAGCACTATCTAGCAACAATGCGTATTCGACGCATCTATTTCCGTTGTGTTTGAGCGCGGGTGCGGCCGAGGCAGGAACTCCACTTTTGGTCCACGTCGCGCACTCGCGCCACGCGCATGCGCATGCAAAGCTCACGCGCCCTATAGTAACGTGCGTTGCATCGACATCGACATATGACGTCACCCGTTAGATAGTTACGGTTATGATGAAGTGGACGCACCTCTCATCGCTCATCCGAGACTGCATTGAGATGCAATTGTGTTGCAACGCACTTAGGAAAACACCTCTATCGTAGTCGATTGACATTGAAAGAGTGAATGAAACGAGGGGGCCTCCCTCTGACCGCTTTGCGGCAATAATAACCTGGGACAAAGATAAAAAATTTGAAGGAAGTTTCTTCATCCTACCGAAAGTCGAAAAATCATGGAAATTGGCCTGATAGATCCCTAGTTATAAGTAAAGTAAAAATGAGAAGGAGAGCCACAAATTTCGCGGTACCTGTTACAATATTTGCATGCGCATCAGCGTAGTTGAGTATTTAACTAGCGGAAGATTGAAAGAAACACTGTCAAAGTGGTAATGAATTTAGCATGTACCATGTTTTCGTTAGAAAGGAGGTGTGAATTCTTGCAATTAACACCAGATCCAATTGCCATTTGACTGTCTTAAAATTAGAGCATGACTAAACACGTAATCTCACATAACTTTTTCGTTGAGGGCACTAAAAACTTCCAAAATTAACTCATCGGTGGTGGATTAACACTAATATTGAACGTTTAACTGATTCAAACTTCTCACTCTGAACCAAAATCAACGCACTTAAGTCCAACTGACCATGACGAGCTTTATTTTTCGGCAAAACAGCCGGAAATGAATTTCATTAAAATTTTCTTGCCTCTAATGCATGAAGCACATAAACTTATCGAGAAAAATCCAGCACGTTCAAAAATTATTCTATTAAATATCATAGTTGCATTAATTTAGTTCGAAATTTGTTCATGATCACTTCAATTTTTTAACGGAGATAAGTTTAAATTTTTTTGAAAAAAAAAAACAAGAAACGCTAATTTTTAATATACAATCTAAAACTTGAAATGCTGATTGTTTCCACCGTTTTCTACGCACAGTTTTGATTGCAACTTAGAACAGGGAACATGTGCACATGTTTGATTTGGTGCTCCATTATTGAAGCAATAGCTGGGCGTGGATGATCGATTTTCGATATTTCTCCTTTTGAAGCCATGGTAAAAATCCATTATTAAGGTGTTCGTTGCGAACGCCCTGTTTATCGATTCTTTTCCATTGGTTTAAATGGCAGATCAATCGATATATCGCAAAGTGCGCCGCGCCACTGTGTTGAAGACGGGGGCCGGAGCCGGACTGCAAGACCTGAGTCCGGCTGGAGTCCCTTTATACTGAGAGTCAAGACAATGTGAATCCATTTCTGATTGGTTCCCGTATTTTAGGCCTTCGCAGTGTCACAAACGGGAATAAAGATTACATTTTCACCGATTGCAAAGATTATAATCTGGAATGGACCGGGGAATTACGGGTTCGGCAAGGAACAAACGTAATAAGAGAAGGAACGGAGAAAGGAATTCGAGAATGGGCCGATCAAAGATTACAAAAAACGTTCAATTTCTGTAATCTTCATTCCCGTTTGTGACTCCATGAAAGGGTGTTGTCTTGACTCTCAGTATAAAGGGACTCTAGGTCCGGCAAGTCTTCCTGAATCTGTGCCCCGAATAAATCAGCAACGATTCGAACCACTTTAATTGTACGAACGAATAAAAAAAAGAGTAGGGAAACAAAAAACCCAATGACCAATAATCCACGAGTAAACCGTTACAGTGCAGTTTTCCGCCGCCGGGGGCCGGTAACTGGTAGCAGCGAACCAGTGAATTCCTGGGTGTTCCGGATTCGCCGGTCAAAATGCAGCGGAGTCCTAGTTACATCGCCGGCAACGACCAACGATTAAGATTACAGCTCGAATGACAAGGAGGAAAAGGGATTACTCGCTTCGTGCTACATATTTTTACGGTCCATTAGACAATTAGCTGACTGACTGATTGCCGACTCCGAATCGAATCCGCACTGAGCTGTGATGATGTTGGCACAGTTCGGAGATAAATCTCCCAGTCCTTCCCGTGATTTTCCGGTCCAGCTCCTCGATTTTTCTTCCCCGGTAGTTGATGGACTTTTCAGTTCATACAGAAATTCGTTTGCGGGAATTTCAAATATTTTCATCGCAGCTTTTACGAGTAGATGTAGCATAGTCACCAACGATAATGAGTCGGACGCGCTAATCACAGAACCGTGTTTCTATGACTTAAAGTACAGATTACCAAAAAAAAAACGACGCACGACGGGACACGTTTCGAGTCCTTTCTTCGGAAAATAAGACGATTGGACTACATTTTGCAATTAGGAACTATAAATTGTGCCTCAGTTTAAAACCATCGTATGCACCACTAGTTTCTCTATCCAGATAAGTGCTTTTACAGATGGGTCTAAATTTACAGTTCCGAATTGCAAAATGACGTCCAATTGATGTCAGGTAAAAGAAAGCTGAGAATTGCCATGGCTCCTTCAATACTGGTTCCACCAGTGATGCACTCAGAGTTGGCTTAAAAATCGAGAGTTTTGAAAAAAAAAAAAAAAAAAAAAAAAAAAAAAAAAAAATCCGTATTTACTATAATATTCTATACATTGTTTTACATAAGCCACTTTCTCGAAGGATTCTTTCTACGTAATGACGTCAGACGCATGCATTAGTTCGGCCAAGGCATCTATTGGGAGCAGCCAAAATTTGCTGAGGTAGGCAAAACATCCAAAAACGTCGAAAATATGCTCCGGAATTGCCCCAAAAGTATTAAATTGAAAATAGGGGAAGAATTACCCTTGTCCTCTCCAAACACCCCTAAATAGCATTATAAATTCAATACTGTGCTATTTGGCTCCTCGTAGCTTTACGAGAACCAGCCCCATTATATTTTACTCTTTAATATAATATAAAATTATAAACGTAACGTGTAACGCATAACGCCTGAGACGCGAGGCGCTTCGACCGCGAAGCGGTCAGGTGGCGTAGCCCCTGGTGTAAAATAATTGTACATGCATTATAATGTTTTCCTTGCACATAAATTGACGGAAGTCAAGCTGAAGACTAATGAAAATAATTTTCTGTTGACAGTCGGCTGAGAGAGATCCTCGACTTGCCATCCCTCGAGTATCCATCAAGCCCCGCCGCCGTTTCCACCTCAAAGGCGTTGACTCTAGTCTCGGTTCAGCCGCGCAAAAGCTGCAATCGGTGCTACAAAGCGGCCCCACTCCGTCGAAAATGCTTCAAGTGTCGTATGAAAGTATGCCGGGCATGTTCCTACAAAGGATTTTGCTCCACTTGTAGGATACCAAGGTAATATCCTCGCTCAATTAGAATTCTTCCGCATGTATCTTCTCTACATTACCCGAGTTTCTTACGCATCGATCTGTCTTCCGGAGTCCGGTGAATATCTAATTCGTCCCGACTTACTATTTAGAGGGCTGTAAAAAGTCGTAATGATATTTCTAGTGGAATTATTAAAGGGACACATGACACAGTGACTGAAACTTGAAAAATATCAGATGACACGATGTCATTGAACACGAAAGTTATTTGAAGTAAGGCAAAACATAGATGAGGTCGCTCAGGGCTCTTACACGTCGGGTGAAAGGGATACAGTACGCCAATTGAGTTTTTTCACTTACAGTATTTTTGACCTTTCCAATGGACGATTACGAGGTTATGGTTTTTACAGAGGTGATGGTTTCATTTGAATTTTATGTTAGACTAGATTGAAATAGTATGGGCGTACTAATTTAACATGGTACTCGTAAATGCTTATGCAAAAGATGTTCCGGAAAAAAGATGGTGCACCTCGGGGTAGTTCGGGTAGTAGTGGGGTAGTTAGTGAGAATTACAAATTTTTAATGTTATTGTTTTAATTTTTCTATCTTTCATTCTTCTTCTCCTAGTTTCTAAGGATCACTTACTGTTCACTTTGTTTTTCATACAATGCAGTCTTAATTTTACAACAACAATAATAAGAACGACAACAAAATCGTTTAGAGGACTTTATGGATTCTGTTTTCCCATAGGTGTCTCAGTACCTTTCTTTTCAAATGTGTTAAAAAAAAGAAACTTCTCAAAGCCACAAGGAATTAAGTGTTCAGTTACAATCAAACTGAAAGTGAAAAAATAAATATTTCATATCCAACAAAAAGGCGTTTATCAATTCATTGCTACTGAAGAACAATTATACCGATGGCTAAAGACGGATTTCTTGAAATTCATCTACATAGAGGCAATTAGGAATCCACTGTAACCATTAACATTATTTTTCCATCCGAGCATCAAAGTCCCTCCCAAGATGTCACAACTGAAAGAATCTATAGAGTCACACTGGTAAACCACTGAAAAAAGTTACTTTCCAAGAGCGCAGGATGTTGACGAAAACGTACTTTGATTTTTTCAGAGATGAAAATCGGAAGACAGGGGACTGGTTTTATCAACGACTCCAGAAAGAATTCAACCTCAAAGTGGCGGCCATAGCAAATAACTCGGATCTCGATGGAGAAGTACGGGAGTTTATGGAACGTCTCGTCGAGACTCTCGTTGGAGGAAGTCTTGATGACGTATCACTCACTCCACTGTCTGATCATCCAGACTGTAAGTACAGTACTATTTTCATCCATCTTAAATGTATCTTATGAAAAAAAGAAGAAGAAGAAAAAAAACCCTTAAAGCTCTTTTAAAAAAACTCAGATTAAAACTGCAATGGCTGGAAAATTTGAGTGACTTCTCATTACCTTGCACTACATTTGCAACTTAGAACCGCCTTAAAATATTTCTCACACATATAAAAATTAATAAGCATCGCAAGAATTTTAGGTTTTTCTTTAATAAAAAAAAAAAAAAAAAAAAAAAGATCGCAATGATGTAATGTAAATGTGGTTTTGCATATCGACGGTGAAACTACCAAACCATGTATCTCGGTTTGCGACGTCGCAGACTTCCTGCCATACTTTATTTTTTTAAATGAAAAACTATTTAACGTCCAGTCTTGAAAATTTCTGTGATTTTTCCTCTTCGTGCAGAGAAAATTCTGTGAAAATTTCAAGAAATGATATTGATTTGGTCTACTTCAAAAAAATAAAATGTGAGCGTAAATTTTTAAACACCGCAAACGAGATACGTGGTTTGGTAGTTTCACCGTCGATATGCGTTTCCCCCTTTCTCATACGAGAAGGAACAGAAACGGATTACACAATTCATATCCAAAATAACATCACATTTTTATGTTTATTACTCACGAGACAATAAAAATACGACATTTGCGGTGCATTTTACTCTACCTCTATACTTTTGAATTTCAATAATTTTATAGAGTTTGATCAAAATGTGTATAATTTTGCAGATGATGGACTTTGTGATCGGCATCAAGAAATTTTGTCTCTCACCCTTGCTCGCCTCTCATTCGGCCTGCATATGGCCATCGCAAGTAAGCTAGCGTATTTTGAAATGCGATTTCCTCCTCTAAATTATTCTTATTATCTCTCTTTATTTATACTGTCAGAGTTCCTTCCCTTCCTTTCACAAAATTTTTCAAGCAAAACTTAGCAATTTTATTGGTCAAAATTTCGAATTTCTGCGAGTACTCGACGAATTTGTATGTTATCGAGTGGGGGAAAAGCATCAATATATATCAAAACAAAACTTGGAACTTGAATTTTTTTTTTTATTTAACTATTTATTCAGCACTTTTTGGTTAACAAATTTAGCACTATTCCAGCACAATTGACGGAAATTGGAATAGTAAGTAGATCTAACCCCCATTTTACCACCGCGAGGATTACGAAATCTCCGGAGAAAGTGGAGAAGTAGTGTAATGGAAAAATATAAAAGTAATAAATACGAGAAAAAAGAGAAAAAAAGGTGAGAATGTGCTAGCAACCTCTATCCTTGAAATTATAAATTCGATGAATCTATCTTATTTTCATATCCTTTGCAGACAAGCCATTGCCAGAACTTGAGTCTCCATCGACAGTCACATCCGAGCTGAAAACTCAAGTTCAAAAACTAACGGATGAAGCTTTGACACTTCCAGAACTTTTGGTAAGTCATTACAATCACTGTCTCTTTCATTCTGAGCACACCTACAGTTAATCACCAAGGAGACTGCTTGGAGCTATATTCTGCGTAAAATTCTGGAGGATGAGCATTCCAAATCCCTTTTGATGGGCCCTCTCCCTCAGCCTCAGCGTCACTCGCTACCCCACGAGCGAGGTGCTTAATAATACGAGGTAGTTCAGCGAAAAACTCGCGGTTTGAGGTCAAAAATATTAATTTTCAAGTTTCGATGCTAAATTTATACTTTCTTGTCTCAAAAACTTCGGGTCGAAGTTTCAAACTATAATTTATATTATTAATGATGTTATAAGCATTTGAGGTGAATCATTCTAATTTCAACAGTGATTTTCTTGAAGTTGCCGTTTTTTGTCCTCAAACAAAATTGTTCAAAAAGTGTAAATTGTAGGGATGTTGGAAGTTCTTAGCGCCTGAGGCTGCAAAATTGATTTTTTCACGTGGAGGTGTTGTATCTCATTTTTCATTCTAATCCTTGTGGCATGTCTAGCCTAACTCTGTCACACATTATAAAAATATCAATGAAGTGTAGCCAAGTATCTTGGTTACAATTTTCCTACATTTACTGTTAGTTCTTTTCTCTAATATTCTTTAAAAAAGTATTTCTTAATAAAATATTTTTCAAATTACAGGATGAGGATTTCATATCAAAAAGTTCCGTGAACACAGTCAATTTAGATGGACAAACGTACGAGGATATATTGGCGAAAGCTATCATCAACAAAGTATGTGTACTTAATGATTTTAACTAATAGTAGACGAGCAATTTGTTTACTAGACCTGAAAAAAAAATTAAAAAATAAAAAAAAAATGTCTAATTTCACTGGAGCGAGAAAACTCCATGAATCGCTTTGCACAAAATCCTCAAACTTTCGAAAGAGGTGTACTATATATATGTACCTATGTATTTTCGATAATCAATGAGAATTTTTTTCAATTTCTACACAAATACCTGTATAATCAAAGGCAATGTGCAGGGTTTTTTTTTTTCTATAAAAAAATCCATTCTTTTTCAGTGCTTAGCTTTAAATTACTTAAGGGGATGGTTGAATAAGATTTTCCACTTGGATTTTTCAAGTTTTTACGTCGGTTGACAAAAGTAATTGACCAAAAAGAATCAAACCTAGGTGGGAAAAGCACAACATAGTAAGTTATGAAAGAATACTCTATTTGGGTGTGAGTTATGATTATGAGTGACTTAAACTGTCGGCAGTTTAATGACAGGATTTACTCCGGTGCAGTTCAACCCTTCACTCAAGAGTGATCAACAGAAGACCTACAGTGCAGTTGCAATTGATATGGGTTCCCTTGCAAAACGCCCCTTACACCTTCTCTGCACTGGAACACACTGACCTGTAACCCTCACTCTCACCCTATCTCCGTTTGTCGCATTTCCAGTTCGGCATTCTGAAAGCTAGCGATGAGCTCTCTCTTGAGTCATAGTGTTGTTAAATTTCATTTTTTCGCCTTCTTTGAAACGATTTTTCACAAATCTTCTGCAATTCTTCACAATGATTAAAGTGATTCCTCTCTTAAGTATACAGCTCCTAATAATTATCTTCCTCTACTTGGTTCTCAGTAACACTTGACGAGAGTTTTTAAACAGTGGTTTTTTGCTTTCAAATATTCTCTGATAAAGGACAGTATCAAAGACGACAACTTTCTTCACTGAAGTAGGTCTTCATCTTGTAAAATACCTTAGATTTGTGAACCTTCTTTCCTCCTATTCTTTCAATACCTAGTCGCACATCTAAAAGATCAATTCTTACTGCCTAACCTGCCCGTTTATTGCCCACCTTCTTCGAACACCTTCTCCCTATCTTGTATTATTTAATCGTTTGCTTTAGTCTCAGAAGTTAGTAGAATATATATAACGTAGGTATTTTGAAACTTTACAGGTGGTTGAAAAAAGCCAAAGAGGACAAGGCAGCCCAACAGACAGTAAAAATAACCTAGCTATGACAGTATCGCCTAACTTCATTCGTAAAAGAAACAGTAAGTAAAAGTTTAATGTCATTAATCGTTCATGTTACGTCATCTTTCATAGTAAGTGACACTCGAATAGTGAGAAAATATTGATACATATTTTAATGAATAATTTATGAAACTTATGAATGAATGTCGATAGTTATTTAAATCAGCTGAACCAATTGATAATCGATGGTGGCATTCATTTATTTTTCTAGAATATTGAAATTTTTAGAATTATTAAAATGGAGTTTAACTACGGACTCGACGATGTAGAAGAATATGTGAACGGTTCATTTACGATGAAAATTGAAAAAATTCCAAAAACGTCATTACAACTTAGGCTGATATTTCCCCTTCAATTTCCAACCATGCAATAAGACATACGTGTAACTTTGATGCTGAAGACAATGAGTGAGTGAAGTCAATTCAGCTGTAAAGAGTCACCATACCGTAAATACGGACTTACGGTTACAACCGATTTTTTTTTTTTTTTTTTTTTTTTTTTTTTTTTTTTTTTTNTTTTTTTTTTTTTGTATTATTCCTGGTATCAAAATTTTGATGCGGGAAAATTTTTAGCTTATTCTTGATATTTTTACTCACTAACCGCATTCTAAATACCAACGGTGGAAAACAAGCAAATTACAAAGAATTCGGTGAAATATTCTGAGTAGGTGTAAAGTTGAGATTTTCCGCACTCATAAAATTTGAATGATCTCAATATTTTTTGGCGCGTATACGTAGTATACCGCCTTTGCGATCGTTTCGACCCCCCCCCCCCGATACAATAACCGAGTCCCCTAGTTCCTTACCGAAAAGTGACTACCGCGAACTTCTGAGATTTTCCAAAGCGTGTAAAAAGTTTNTGTGTTGGAGTTCACTGCTTGTTTTTCTTTATCACAAACATAAAATCAACAAATTTTTACCACAATTAAATATTTCACTTGTTCAGAAACGAAACCGCCTTTTCTTACATGAAAAATCGGGTCTTTTTTCTTTACTTATAAGTACGTGGAACAAACTTTACCTACATAAAATGTTTTCTTTAAAAAAGAAAAAAAAAGAATATTTACATTCATGGTTGTACATTTTACAGAGCTCCTGTCGAGTGACAGCTCTGACATGAATGGAACAAGTCATTACAGTTGGAGCGATTCTGCGCAGTCAGACCCTATATCTTTGAAGGTAAGTCCCAAGTAATTAAGTAATCAAGCCAACAATTTAACTAAGATTACTTTCCTTTCGGTGAAAAGAAACCGCGCACTAAAAGAAACACATCATTCTCATTTGAGGTACCAACATTCTTTCCTTTATTACAAGTTAAACATCAGATGTAGGTGCATGGCCGGATTTACCTACTTGCCGCCCTTGGGCCACCTGTTTGTCGACCCCTTCTCATTCGTTTTGAAACATCGATACAAACCATCAAGTGAACGTCCCGGAGTAGGAGGGGTGCATAAAACGCGTTTACTTGTGTAGGGCACATTTTTTTGTGAAAGCCTTGTCAACACTAGCAAAAGTTCAGGGAACTTTGCGCGAAAGTTAAGTTCCGTAAACCTATCTCTGTGTGGACAAGGCCTTTCATTTACAAGAATTGAGCGAAAAAGTTATGAAAAAATAAACATGGATGTGGTTTAATAATTTTGAATTCCGCCGACCGAACTGTGTTTGGCGTAGTGCTTGAAGTATCCCTTCAGTCATGTAGACGCTATGCATTTCACGCCGACCGCTCCTGACCGCACTGCGTTTGACGCAAGGTATCCATGCAGTCTTGTAGGCGCTAATATGTGGCGCGGCGCGCCAACAGCTCCTCCTTTTTATCTCAAGTCGTCGTCATCATCGCTCTCTGCGCCCCGCCGCTCCGGGCCAAATCGCGTGTTTGGTTTCTCTCTCAACCAGACCAATGAAAGGTGCTGTCTCTTGTATCACCGAAAGACGAACAAATTAGAAGTTACTGTACTTCTCAGGAAATGAGAGACTTGATCACCTTTTCTCGTTTGTAATTTTTTTCTGGATCCGATTTTTGGTGACACCTACCTTTGAAAAAATTGCAAAATTTGCCGCCATAGGTTGCGGCCCATCTGGCCACCCCTTAAATCCGGCCCTGTGTAGATGGAGGGTTTTTTTTTTTTTTTTTTTTGATCTAGCTACTTATAGCCTACCTGTTTTTATAATCAGAGTGAATCGGTTTCTCATGCGGGGGTTTCCGTTTTTCAGGTTGAAGAACACATTGAAGAAGTGACTACGAGATATAGCTCTGATGATGAGGAAAAATCAGACTTCGACAATTTCTTATCGAATTTGAACTTCTTGAAAGGGCAGCGCGCGCCATGCCCTGAATTAGGTTGTGATATAGTGGATGGTAAGTGTAATTTGAGCTTGCTTCTTACATTTTCTCTGAATTATTTAAACTGTTGGAACGGCCAACTCCTACAAGAAAAATAACAGCACTACCCTTGCTTAAAATTACACGAAACTCAGTGCCCTTAAAAGTGTTGGGACGAATTCCGATGACTTAGTAAAGCGTGTGGACACATACTTTATCTTTTGGATTTCAAGCGTTACACACACAAGACTAATATCAAAAACTAAAGGAAATATGGAAGAGGAAGAAACATGAATTTTCCAGTTTTGACAATTCACCAATTCGTTCGAGTATTCATTCAGTTTTCTTGATATTTCATTCTCTATCTCTTCAAAATGAAGCAATGCCCTAAGTAAAATTGAAATTTAGTTCGTGTAAAAATCGTTATTAATTTTTTGTTTTGTTAGGTAGCCAGTGCTATCGGGTAAAAGAAATTGCTGACTCACATTAACATAAAAATGAAGTAATTTTTTTGTCAAGTTCTTATTTGTGACTAATAAATACTTCATTTTTTAGTTAATGTGAGTTAACCATTTCATTTTGATCCATAGCACTTGCTACCTAACATAAAAAAGTACACTAAGTACTGCCACCATAATGTTGTACATCAACACTCTCAATAATACGTTCAAACCCACTAACATGCGATGAACCCAATGTCACCACCAAACTTCTGAAACTCTCTGCCTCCCTTTAATTTAAAAGTCTAAAGTTTTATAAATACACCCATCTTCCAAATTCTTAGTAAAGACGTTAATAGCCTGAGATGCTGAATGTTTTTAAATAACTTAACTAACTAACTAATTGTTTTGATACCTCCAAGGTTTCTCAAATTATTATCATCACTATGAACTTTCTGACCACCTAAATTTTCATTTTTGTCGTTCTAGCTTTCTTTTGGGCCGATTTTCATAATTTATGCGGTTAGCGACGGGTGATAGTCCGAAAGGCCTAGATACACACGGCGATCAATCGCCGCGAGTGAAAGAGGAAAGCCAATGGAGAGCCTTGATTTCGATATATCGCCGTCAATGGATCGAAATCAAGGCTCTCCATTCGCTTTCGTCTTTCACGCGCAGCGATTAATCGTCGTGTGTATCTAGGCCTTTAGATGAGCCCACTTAATTCAGATTTTGAAAACTTGACTCACGATAAGGCCTCGCGAAGGGTGCGAAGCACCCTCCGGTGGTTAGGCCGCGTAGCGGCCAGGGGGCATCCCCCCTGGCATATTTTTGTGAAGCTAATCGAATGATGTTATTTTTAGCGGGTGCTGCATCCTCCTCGGATGATGACTGGTCGGAGAACGATAGCACAGATGGTTTGGATATAGTTAATCCAGTGGACTCGTGGGAGGAAAACTGGTTGTTCCAACGCAGAAGATTAGCAAAAAACAATTCATGTCATCAGCCTGTGCCAGTCCCGATGTTGGTGCCGAACCCAGCTCTCGAATACAGGGCGCTGATTGGGGATGTCGATGCGGATGAGATGTCAGACTTATCTGAATGCAGTGACTCTGTTTTGGAACAACTGATAGATGAACCGAGTGAGTTTCTTACCATCGATCATGGTGACTATCTAAGTTTAACCTAATTTACGAGTCGCAATGGAGATGTTGCATGTGTGAGGAATTTGCGATTTGACTATTGATTCTTATGTACAAGATCGCGAGAAACACGATGGTGCCACTGGTTTTCTCTGATATCAACTCCGAAGCTCAAAAAAAGCTCTCAAGTTGAGGCCAAAATGGAGGGGATATCCCACCCTTCCCTGAGAGTCCACCTCCACAAGACAAACTCTCCATGCAAAGATAGGGAGCAAATACATTGACAGGGCTGCCACTTTATTTGGGGACTCTAAAACTGAAAACACGGCATCACTGCTGATGTATTTGCTCCCTACCTTTGCATGGAGAGTTTGTTTTGATGTAGAGGTGGACTCTCAGGATAGCGTGGGATATCCCCTCCATTTTGGCCTCAACTTGAGGGCTTTTTCTGAGCTTGGGAGATGATTTCAGAGAAAACCAGTGGCACCATCGTGTTTCTCGCGAACTTTTACGTAAGAATCAACAGTCAAATCGCAAATTCCTCACACATGCAACATCTCCATTTTCGTCGAAAAGGTGGACAAGGCATGAAAAATGGACCTCATGACGTCGCACCTCTAACGAAAGAGCGTACCTCTATTTCTACATGAGCCCTGGCAACCATAGAGTTATACGGAGAATAGGACTCATGTTGAAATTGAGATGCGCCCTTCCCTTACATCAGAGGAGCGACGATGATTAAGCCATGCAGCAATTCGGTTTTTTCTCGCTTCTGATCGTAAAAACCTCCCGTTTAATGTGAAGAGAGTATGTATGCGCGCAGTTTGCTGACGTAACTAAAGGGCTACAAATACAGTTATCGCACTCGAGCGTCATTTCAATTTTCGCGCACTGCGCGAAAAATATGCCGCGGGAATGATAGAAAGAATCGTTCAAAATTTAGAAATGTCCACAATTTGCATCTATCAAGTTTCATCGAGCAAATTATATGATTTGGGAATAAAAATATATCAAATATTTTGGGAAAGACTCGGGAGATAGTGATCAGCCGAACAACAAACACAGGTCTCAAAATTTCCTCTGTGAAGGATAACAATTTATGAATAAAATAAAAAAGGGGGGTTTTAAAAACCGCAAGAGAAATATTTTTCTGCGATGCTGTGAGAAAAATAAAACCAATTTTATAAACAGGAGGCGGGCTGAATTACTTACTCCCCAAGTAGAACAGATTGGAACACATTCGATTCCATTGTAAAATGACTGATTGCATCGAATTGTTGTGTGTGTTGCCTATCTTCTGATTGAAGGGGCTTCTCTTATGATAATTTATTGCAATAACATTGAAATGAGTTGCAATTTTTCATTGTATCGCAAATTGCCCATCATTCTAATACATGGAGCTCATTAAGTGATTGTTTAAAGTCAGAATTTTTATACTTCATGTTTTGTATCAAGCTCACAGCGTGACAGTCTCTCAATTTATGTTGACCTACTGCTTAAACAAGACGTGGTCTCTTAATAAAATGTATTATTTTTCTCTTCCCAGGCTACAGAAGTCCTAATACCCAGAGTGCTCCTCCTGAGACTGATGAGACAGAGAATGCAACTAGTAATTTCATCAGTATAGAGCAAACTGTTAACATCACAATGAACGCTAAACCGACAGAAAGCTCTGAGACAACAACAGGAAACAGTGAAAATCAACACGAAGCATCGGAAGTGATGACCAAAGATAGTGTTCCGAACGAAAGCAGTAACGCAAAGAAAGCCACAAAGTTGAAAAATTCTGCTTACTCCTTGTCAAGAAGTTCACATTCAAGTTCTGAGAGTGATGATGAAGACTCACCATCGGGTGGAGATATAGTACAAGCGAAAAATGAGAATGTGTTATTATCACAACATGATTCTGGTAAGTCGGCCACATTAATTTTTTGAGTCTTTGATTATTCTTACCTTTCTCTTTGTTTGTGCAATTTTAGGTTAATTGCTAGTTTATATCTCGAAATAGGGGCGAGCAAAAAAAAAGTTCAATTCCCCGAATGAGGTCTGATGAAAGTCAGTGATGAAAAGAAAAACGTAATGCCTCCAGTTGCCATATGCAATAAGACGACCCTACATTCAACATAACGAGCACAAAAGTGCAACTATGTCATAATTCCTCATTCCCTCTCCCCCCCCCTCCTTTTTTTTTGAAGAGAGGAAAAAAAACTTGTATCATCTCATCTTGCGCCATGTAGGTAATATTCGCTATCTGCTCCACTAAATTCATATACTGAACATGAATACATTACCTACGTCATCAAAGGAGAAAGAGAAAATTGTTCTTCTCTAAAAGAGACTTTTACTGATTTCAGAGGATGAATCCATAGATGCTGAAATGCAGCAACGCGATAGTGAATACACGGTCGCAACTGTCGCACAGACACATCCTGTACCTGATTCCAAGTAAGTGCTAATTTTTTAGTTTTCCCATTTCTTGAGCAAGACGTAAGCACCTCATGGCTTCGGTAGGTACATTTGTAGTGATAGTGATGACAAGGAAAGGCAAAGATATTCACTTTTTGCAGTCAAAAAAAAGAAATCGCTAGAATTGTGTATTGTCAGAATCACTTGCCGATGTCAATGTTAAAACATGACTCCGAACGTTGAGTTACTAAACAAATCAAGTGTATCTGGAGTTTAATTGAAAATATTACTTGGTTGAAATATTATTTTCCTATTCTTCCACCCCTTTCGAAGGATAGGCACACATTTGAAAACGTTTTTTTTAAAACACTTAAAGAAATGACAGGAATTTTTTAAAAAAAAATGTTTCTGTTTTTGGAAGTCGTAAAAAAATTTAGAATGCGTACTCATGGGACACTTGATAGAAGATTAGTTTTGAAGAACGCTTAAACTTTCATATTGCTCCGGAATTTGACAACTTTTCTACTTCGATGTTTTTAGATTCGGTGGATTAAAGAATGACGTACAGTCGTCCACAAAAAGTCGAGATGAAGACTCTAGTGATGAAGGTCCAACTCCTCGGCCAGGTAATATCTTGGTTTTAAATTTCATTATTTATAAGTATGTCTGAGTAACAAGATTTAGCAAGAAAAAAGAAAATAATAATTATGATTCTGACTCCCAAAATATACAGAAGTGCATATTAAGAGACATCAATTGCATAGGTAATGGTTGTGGGAAAGTCAGAATTCTGTTCGTCGAAAGTCTGGATCCTCTGGGGATCTTCGAAATCTAAAAGACGGATTTACAGAGGCTGAAGGCTGGCATTTTGGGAACCCTTAGATTTTAGGATTTGGGGCCCCTAATGACCAGCATCCCGGCTTTTCCGGCCCCTGAGCGCTAATCCGGCCCTGAACTAATTAATAGGCACTGGTAAAGAGCCTTGGCGCTCCTCCCTGTACTAAACCGTGTGAGTTTTCATATTCAATCCCATTTTGATTGTCCCAATCACATTTTTAAGAACCAACATCTAATAAACTTACTGAGAAAACTACCTGGAAATTCATTCATAATGATGATTTTAAAATTAAATTTACATTTTTTAAACTTTGAAATTTTTCGAAAACACTTCAACATCATACGTAAACAAAAAAGGAAACGCTATTATATCAGTGGCGTGGCGTGAATTGCGATATATCGATTGTTATGCCATTTAAACGGATGGAAAAGGATCGATAAACAGGGTGTTCGCACCGAACACCTTAATAATCGATTCTTTACCTTAGGTTTAAATTTCATAATAATCGATATATCGCAACTCACGCCACGCCACTGTATTATAGTACCTATAGGTTTAATAATAAGGAATGCCAGAGAGCAGGAGGAGTAAAAAGCCCTATCAGTTTGATTGGCATCTACACAAGCATTTTGAATCTGATCGGTAAGTATGCACTCAATCTCCATATTTTAAAACATTCACGTGCCTATTCAATAATATATGTGTGCCTCTTTTTTTTTCTTTTTCAGGAACCATTGCTGAGCGAGAACATAAGAAGTGGGAGAAGGCAGTTCCGTTAGCTAATAATCCATACTCTAAAGAAAACATTGACAAAAGACTTAAGAGTAATTTCATTCTCAGTAATCGAGCGAACTGTGATACACCCCTGTAAGTAAATTGAAGTTATTTTACGCCATAAAAATGTACATACTGACAAAATTTGGTGACTGAAAAGTTGCATCAAAAAATTCAACTTCGAGGTATGTTTTCAGAATTCTTGAGGACTCAGCATTCAGAGAAATACAACGCAGTCTTTGCTTCTTTTAAAACCAAAAGCTTCAGTGGTCATTTCTTTTCCGATGTTAACCTAAACACCAGGTATCTTAGCTTTAAAGAAAAAACTTAATAGATTTTCGACAATTTTATTTCAATATCAAACTTAAAATTAAAAATAGGCACCTGCAAAACTTATTTTTACCGCGACAACTCATTGAAAATTCCTTGTCATTTTTGTAATTACGTTCCATTATTTTCTTGTGTTACTCTTTACAGTTCACTGATGTTAAAACTTTGTTACCTTTTCAGGGAATTCATCTCAGAACAAACCATTCACGTAGGCAGCAATTTACCCGACATGAAAAGGTAATTTATATAATTTTAACTACAATACGAATACATCATCTGCCCTCTCTTCTTCACTGTAATTTTGATCAGTACCTCTGGGTGTTTAGTTCTTTGAGTAAAAAAAACAGCGTGTTAAAACAAAGTCTCTATTATTTACAAAATATGATTTAAAATCATTTTGAGTGAATGTGTTGAAAGTTCAGTATTGGAAGCTTTTAAAATATTTAAAAAATACCGAGAAAAAGCTTCTGGGAGAAGTTAATCTGGGAGTAAATCAATAGAATTATCCTATGACATAAGTGGCCACAAGTTCAATTTCCACTGTGTTTTTTGTTTATTTTGTTTGCAGATACAGCAGAGACTTTTACATTAACACTGACGAAGATCAAAATGAGGTAAGTCATTTAAGAAAACATTTTTATGGCGATTTAGAGAAATCCATTGTGCATTCTGATATCGATCACTTAGCTTTTCGTGCTCAGCATTCCACACCGCACTTCACGAAGAACCCGATGTTTGACGATAGTGACCTGGACTCGCTGCCGCTGAGAGAAAACCGATCATCGCCTTCAAGTAAAAATGTAAATAGTTTGGAGTCAGGATACGCCAGTTCCGCAGATTCGGTGAGTGGCGAACGATTAGCTCTTCCTAAACCGGTGGTTGTTGAAACGCATTTCGAAACTTTGAGGAGTTTACGGCAGAACAACACTCTCTCACTGCGCTCGCATAAAAAACGAAAAATGTTCCACAATTACGGCAGCTTGCGACTCTTTAAATCCCCCTCTTTAAATTGGTGATATTTTCATGAAACGCTTCAGTGCCTAGTATTGATCACAGCAGGAAATGATCGCTTCCAAATGACAACGGTATTTATCTTGAAAATTATACATCTTACGCAAAATTACTAAAAAATGGATACCAGGATGTAAGCTCTCAGATGCGAGTATCATTTATGTTTTTGCAAATTTCACTTTTTTAGAACCATCTTGAACGGAAAACTAATTTCAAAAACTGACGTTCAGATCGATGCAATTTCACATTTCATTATTGGAAATCAAAATGAAAGGTGAAATTGTGTAACTGGTGTACCAAAATATGACCCATTTAATTCACCCATATATGTACAGATAATACCAATTTACACCGAGATATTATAACTGTTTCCATGATTTTGAAACTTTGAGGGATGTTACACTTTAGAAACGAGTTGTGCTCCGAAAGATATAAGTTCAAATAATGGTTTTATAACATTGAAAAATCAAGTAATTTCGGAATAGAATTAAAAATGAGAGCATATCAGTGATAAATTATTTTCAATTTAAAGTACGAAAAGTCTGAAAGACTAGATAAAGCAGTCATTGAACCTGTTTTGACCAATATTGTGAGGTTATTAGTTATTGATAATTACATTTAATTGTTCATTAAAATAGTCGGGTAATTTATTGAACATTTTTCCTTTTTTCTTTGTACATTTGTGACGGATGATGCTGCAGTGAAACGCGGGTTCTCTATGCTCTTTGGTAAAAAGTCTTTGGTGCATTAGTCAAAGCTTGATTTTACTGTATAAAAATTTAAGTACATAAGCTAATTCCACACCAAGGAGCAGTTAACATACTGATGTTTTTCACTGAATTATTCACAAAATCAAGCTTTAACTGCATTTAATTTTGTAAGTTTGTTACCTTCTGCCATAAATTATGCAATACCCATACTTCATTCATTGCATTGAGCATGCGTCTAATTTAAAATTATTTGTTTGTACAAATGTACCTGTGATTGCTCAAGTATTTTAAACATTTTCTTCAGAAATCAATACTAGATTTCTTGAACTGTCAATTGCATTATTACAAAAAATCGCCCTCTTACAATTTCCCGTCGGTATTTTTAGGGAAATGCTATTTTTCTTTTTCTACGTTCCCCTGATATATTTTACGTGGATCTTGGAAGACAATTAGCCAGTTTTTAAATTTTTTTGTAAAAATTCAATCACAGTAGTGTTTCTCAAGGAGGATTTTTAAAAGAGCTTATTCAAAGTAGATTGATAAAATCTTGATTGCCAGATCCACTGCTCTCCTCTAGTAAGCATTCTGAACAAGAACTTGAGAAACACTGGCTTTAAGTTACGCGTTGGAGAGGTTATAATGACTTTTATGTCTCAGAAAAATTGTAAACACAGTGTAGTTTTAGGGAGAAAATCAAAATAATTGACAATCTTTCATGCTCAAGGGATGAACGCTAACAATACGTTTAAGTTACTTTTATGTTTTACGCTTAATGAATTTAATTTAGTTAAGAGAATATTGTTACTTTCTGTTAACCCACCTAGGTCAAATATTTGAGATTTCACTCGAGTTCATTACGCAAGTTACTTTTACAGTGTTACAGTTACATTTTTTTTTTGTTAAAATGTGATACCATGCTCATTCAGACAATGAATATTTGAGAAACTAAACATTAGGGTTCTTTTTTTTATTATTATTAAAGTTACCCTCTGTTGTGATCATAATTATAAAATTGAGGATAAAAATGATTAGGTATAATATAATCAGTCTCGGCATGTACAATTTGAAAAGCAAAAAAGAATCAGCATTCTTTCAACATGATTGAAGAGATGAAGTGTGTGATTTGATTACTTCAGACAAAAAAAGCTAAGCTTAGACTTTTTGCAGCAATAGAGGAAGTTGACCATGACAAAATCGGAACTTTAAGTGTAGAAAAGTTCTCTTTAATAGCCTTCAGGAGTCATAAAAACCTTAATTTTATTCCAGACAGTCAATTTAAAATGCAGAGGCTGCGCCAATCTAGCATGTGTAAGAAGACTGTATATAATGGAACATGAGACTTTCCTCAAAAATAAACATTAAATCTTCAAAATTTTTAAAAATTAAACATCAATTAACTCAGTTTTTATAGTGATGAAACCAGAGGATCCTACCACATAAGTTACCAGTTGCAACCCTCTAGATTTACTTTCTTGATTTTACGAATGTTACCGTTATTTTTCGTTAAAATAAAATTGTTTTTATTCCATTCTTACTTCGTTATCTATTTCTATCTTTCATTTCTTTCCTGACGCTATGCTTGAATCACATTTGTAAATAGATATATTAATTATTTAGACTTTTTTGGTCGACACAATTGGAAGGAATCTATTTTCTCTTAAAAATGATTACTCTCTTTAGATTGATGCGCATTCTGATGTGCATTCTTCGGGTGAGGGAAGATCAAAGTTCTCAATCAGCCGATATTTCTTATGTCAAAACTTTACTTCTGTGGGTGAATCAGCAAGCTACGATGTAAATACTTTCTTTTTTACGCTATAAATCTGCTTAAACTTGGACATAGGTGCAAAAACTTTGCGAGCAAAATGACTTGAATCTGCATGGAATAGAGATACTGTGTTTTGATTACCCATTATATTGGGAAGAACAAATACTTCTGTAGTAAGACACGAAGTAAATAAAACAAGTATATGCACCCAGCTTCACATGGCAGCCAACAATTCAGAATCAGTCTGTGCGTTAAGCATGAGTTTAATACATCTTTGGGATATTTTATTTTTCTTTTTTTGTACATTTAGAGAGAAGTGTTCGAAATAAATAAACATACGTAATTTTATGCTCTGGGACTGTAATGGGTACTTGATAGATTATCAACAACGATTTAAACGATTAATTAATTGTAAAGATCATTGTGAAATAAGATTGGTTGCAGACAACATCACGGCCCTGAAACGGTCAAGACAATGTTATCTTCTCTTTTTTTTAATAAAAAGGTTGAAAATTTTTGCCAAAAAATGTCTGTCATACTTTCACAAATTCCACACTTAGCTTATCCAGGGAATTTCTCCTTTTTTAGCACTCTGTAGAAATGATACATGTTTTATGCACATATAAATGTTATAAAACCTGACGAACTTAGAAATATGGTCTTGCATTGCTTTGAAACTCTACCTACTTTTTCTGCCCTTTCCTAGAATCAATAAGATAAGATATTCAAATTGATCATTTAAGAAGAATTCAATATTGTAATATAAAATAGTCTCTGCACATTTGTAGATACTTTTTGTAAAATTTTAAATGCAGCTGTCCTGATGATTCTTCCTTGTCTATTTACTTTCGGTTTCATCAATATCAACTTCACTCTATAAAAGAATGAGTATCTACTCTATGCATGACAAGTCTGAAAAGTCAGGCACTCTTTTGTCATCTTTAAAAGCAGGATACCGATGGTCAAGGTCGGGAACAATGTACCTGTATTGAGATGTTTCAAAATTTCTGCTTTTATTTTATTTTTTCAAAATGAAGCAGGCTAACTTTATAGCTTGAAAACAATACAGAGGATTTTGCTGAGAGGAGAAAAATTGCGGGCGTTTTTAAGAAATTACGTTGACTAGCATTCCAAAGAAGAAAAAAGTATGACAGAAATTTTGCAACGTTGCAAATAGAGATACGTGGTTCTGCAATTTGTCCATCGATACGTAATTACTTACAGCACTATCTATTTTCAGTTGATACGATGAAAAAAAGTTTGATAGTTCAAAATTTTAAAAGTCTATCAGCATAATTATAGTGATAGGACTGGATAAATTGATGTTGTTGTTAATTGATGTAAGGGATTGATTTTTCTCCTCCGTAAAAAGTCACAACAAACTATTCTTCAAACTGATAAAAGCTTAATTTTCTGGTCATACTTAAGTAATTACATTAGCGTTCGATAAAACTGAAAAAAAAATCAAAGATATTGGAACAATCTGTATTTTTTAACTTCATTGATTTAATTTCCTTCTTGTCTTATTCCCATTTAGAGAACATCAAATCCGGAGTCAAAGAATCCAATGCCCGAAAGAAGAATTTCTCAAGAGACAAAAACTTGTGAAGGCTCACAACAGGTATGAAATACAACTTCTGTCGATACACATTATCTTATTGCTTAGGCTATCGCAGTGAGGTCTCCTTTTCTTGCTTTTTCTCAAGAACTTTTACTCTTAGATGCTAAAGACTTCCATTAAACGCAAAGTTCTAAGTCGGGTCAAGCTGACATTTATTTTGATAGTTTTTGAAGGTGAAAAATAATCATCTTTAAATTTCTCGCCCTACTCCCCTCATCCACCATTTAAAACTCTCTCAAAAGAGATAATCGAGTCAATTTGATCCCGCATAGGATTTCTAAGAGTGCTCATAGCATATTTTGAGATAACTTAATCTTGACTTTTCTTAGATTTTAAAAATAAGATCTCAACGTGCGTTGATGAAACCACAGAGGTACAAATATCCGTGCATCGCTCATACACTGTTCGTTTTGTATGCTGCCAATGAGGTGTCGCTCAAATTCGGGTGAAAAAAACGACGGGAGAAAACGCGCGGGGAAAAAATGAGGCCCGATTACGTTTCTTCTATCTTCGGCTGTGTTGCTCGCGTATCCCTTAAAGCATTGATGTAAAAATAAGACAAACGGAACCAACACGGCATGAAAATACAGCAAGGGAAAGGACGCGCGTTGACGACGGCGCAGTGATACAACTATTCGTACTTGATGGATGTCCGTGTTGCGTCTGCAAAATTGAAGGCGCGATATCGCGAGGCGTCAACTTGCAATGCTTGGCTTTACACTGCCAACGAGGTGTCGCTCAGATTCGGGAAAGATGTTAGAACACGAGGCCAAAATATACGTCTTTTCTATCACAGGCTGTGTTGCGCACGTAGCCCTTGAATCACAAATAAGTATAAATAAAACTAACAAAACCAACGAAATAAGGAAATAGAGCATTAAGAAGGACGCGCATTGATGACGGCGAAGAGATACAACTATTCGTGCTCGATAGATGTCCGTGTTGCATTCGTGAAATTGAAGGCGGGATGGAGCGAAGCGTAAACTCATTATGCTTTGCTCTGAGCCAGGAATTAAATATCGCTAAGATTCGAGGTTAAAATACGTCTCTCCTATCTTCGGCTCTGTTGGCCCTCGTTTTTTTTCTCTTTTTTTTATTTGTTGCTATTAATTTTCAAAATATTGAAACATTTCACCACCTTCTTAATCCAACATCGTGAATGACTTGAAAACCGCTAACCACAATATAACTATAATTCTATGTATTTATACAAGCTGGTTTTGATAAATTGTAACTTCGTGCTTTGAATCAATTATCATTTAAGAGACGTATAATTCTTATTGCGCAGGTTTCTGTAAGAGTAGAGGTGGATGTGTGGCCTGCAGAAAAAATAATACAACACCAATCTACGACATCACCGGACGATTCGCCTCAAGTCTCCCCGATCATTCAAACGACTGTCAACATGAACAAGATGAATGGATGCCGGCAAGAGAAAGAGTTGGAGGTAGTCGAAAAACCAGGGGTGCGAATCAGCTCTTGGGTTGATAATGAGAAGAAAACGGATGAATTGGACGAGTGCCACTCCTTGCCGTCGGTCAAGGAATTAGCTAAACACTTCTCAACAGGGGATAAAAACGAGAAAAACCATACGATAGTGAAGGTAAATATCTTTGAATATTTCCAATAAATTTTGGGAATCAACAGCCCTGGGTAAAGTATCAAGCGTGCGGCAATACTGTACTAATCTTGCCTGGTTAGAAATGGACGTATTTATGCGAAAAGGAGATATGTGGAAGTGGAAAGATGGGGTGTGCTCGTTAGTGGTCGGGCCATAAGAATGAATGGGGAATAGAAAGCGCCAGTGACGTCAGCGGCAATGAGTGCGCACTCTAACGACGGGGAGATGGTCGTCGGGGCGCTGTAACTCGTGAGCCCTGTGCACAAGGCTCTCTTGCCATGCCCGCGGCTCATGAGTTAGCATATTTTGGCGTTTAGCTCCTTTTGATTTAATGTCAAATCCCGCTTCTCAATTTTCTCAAAAGGAGCTATATCCACTTTTACATTGTTTCTTATGACCCAACTAACGAGCACACCCCATCTTTCCACTTGCACATATCTCCTTTTAGCATAAATACGTCCAAATGTTCTTCATTATTTTACCTACAGTGAAAGATGGATGGAAAGAAGCAAACCAACAGCGGCAGTTTCTCTTATAAATCGTCACCTTCGGGCCGAAAGTATCACAAGCGCCACGCAATGTTTAAAACTTTCCGCCGCCATTTTATTTTTTTTACAGGAAAATTGTTCAACGAAGCAGTTTCACTGAATTTTCTTGGTGCTGCCGATAAAATTCAGCGAAATTTTCAAACAGATCCAACCAACAATTTTTCTGTAAAAAATAAAATGGCGGCGGAAATTTTAAAATGTCGCATGGCGCTTGTGATACTTCGGCGGGAAGGTGACGAAATAAAGCCTTAACTCCCTACAAAAAATAACGTGACGAGAGTACGTTTCGAATGCTTATGCTGGACATCATAAGTTGACCTGATTGAATACCCAATCAAGAGAATTAATGATACCAAAATGAAAGAAATGGTGATGAACAATAGTGCAATATAATGTTTGATGTAAAAAAATATTTTTTTCTTCTACTTTAGGATCAGCCCTGAAGGGATTTAATGACACAGACATTAAGAAGTATCAATAGTTTGGATATGGTGAAAAAAAAATGTCAATTGAAGTGCGTTTTTAGTTGAGGAATGATTTCTTTCGATGACTGACAAAAGTTTCTTTTTCTTTCTTACAGCCGACGCCTGTTGTTCCAGCCATTCCTAAAATGTTTGAAATGAAACACAACTACCCATCAAAACAGGTAAGGTCCTTTAAAATTTAGGTACTATTCAATTTTTGCACACTATGAAACTGTGTACCCAGATCTAGATAAAACTGAAGCTTCTACAGACAAACTGTGGCAATCCACAAAATAAAAGGGGGGGGATAACAAAGACAATTCTTTAAGTACCAATTAGCTCCTGGTGCCTGTTTCTTCAAGGCTTAAGAAATTACAAATTCAAGAGAATAAATTATAATGCCACAAATGCAAGATGAGCTCTCATGCACCCTATAAAAAACCCATTAATTACACAGGGAGTTGAAATGGCTCTTATGATTTATCTTCCCCATTTGTGGCAGAGCCAGACCAAATACCTTGCTAAAAAATTTGCCAAAGAACTGCATTTCAGCCAACAGAATTCGATACAGATTTCAAACAGATAAAATTGATTAAAACAAAAAACGTATCAATCTCTAATGAATCGCCAATTTTGATAAGCACATTGCACATTTCTCCAATACACTATCGTCACTGAGTTAAGAAGTCAGAGCTGCAACGATAAACTGACATTATCTCATCATCAATATAAATGATCATTTAAATGAACATTAATTTCAATGATTTTATTCTGCTTCATGCTGAAGCAAAGGAAAAAGCTGCCCTCAAAAACGACGTGAATCTTCCTAACTTGGTAAGACTTTACCAGAAAAAAATTTAAAAATGTAGTTGACGTACATTTTCCTAAAAGTTTTTATTAGTGTTGCATAGGTAGGTATGAACAATACCAATACCTTCTTGTACTTTCATTACAAAAAATATTAAATAAAAATCACTGTAATCCACAATAATTATCTTCCACTGAGCTGGTTAGTTAGCAGCCTCCTCTGAAGTACCTTTTTCTTCACGCATTCCCTTTAGAGACAGTAAAAATATTGGCACCTATGTTGTAGAACCATCTTAAATTTCCATTTGATTGAAAATAGTAGACTCCATTTATTCTTCGAGTTCTTAACATCAGTAATAGCTATCAAAATTACTTAGGAAAATCTTTTTAATATGTTGCTCAGGCATTCCCTTAGCTGCCTCTGGGAAAACGGATTGTTAAGAGTTGCGAGTCAATTAAATTAAAAAGCTCCCGCTGTTCTCAGTCCATTGATAGAATTATATTGCGGATTTTTCTGATACCTTAAAGGGAATTTCCTGACTTTTTTTGCAATGAATTGGACTAAATTTTTCAACGAGGAGCTATTATTCTGGCTACATTTTAGGAACAAGGTGTATGCCATTATTTTCCCCAGGCAGATAGGTGCTTTTACAGCTTGGCCATAAATAACAGTTCCTTATTGCAAAATGCAGTCCAATTCACACTTGTTTGGTTTTGAAAACCAACACACATGATGAATGAAATCAAATATTTCATTTTTGTATATGCTAAACTGCACATAGTTGAAAAATACTTGATGCACTCCCACTTTCCAAATTTGTAACCAATTTTTCTGATGTTCATCAAATTTCCTGAGGTTTTCTGTTTTTTCTGGTTCTTACAAATGGATTGCATTTTGCAAAAAGGAACCACTAGCATTGCAATGATGCTAAGATTGTGCAACTTCATCCTTTGCAATAAAATTGCGGAAATTGTGAAAAACTATGAAATTTAGATGGTAATTTTTGTCTTAAATTTACAGTTTTTAACGAGTAAAATAGAAACTATTAAGGGATAATCAGGTTTTTCCTCCAAGACAAAAGAAGTTGCACAATCTTAGCAACATTGCAATGCTAGTGGTTCCTTTTTGCAAAATGCAATCCAAATGGCAGACACCCTGATTAACCAACTTGTTTTCACAGTAGAAACTAGAGCATTGTTTTCTGACAATGTAAAAGATTGTAAAAAATTTGTATAACACTCAATTGCATAAAAGAAAATTTTTAAACTTGTTTTAAAATTCCAGACATGTTTCGGAAACCTAGGCTCCCATCATCAGCTGTGTCACGCCGCTGATGATGGGAGCAAAGGCTTCCAAAGTGTGTCCGGAACTTAAAAGCACTTTTAAAAAAAACTGTATGCAAACGAGTGTGATAATAATTTTTTCAAATCTTTTACTTCGTGACAAAAAGTTGTGTAGTGATATAAACTCCTAGTTCCCGCCTGCATAGTTTTCTGACAATGATAAGAAATAACTTAACGAGTTAAAATCTTTATTACAGTAAACAAATAAAAGTAAACTAATGGACACGGCATATTGATATAATAATGACTAATTAAACTTAAGTATCCATGATATATAAGTATTTTTATCACATCCAGCAAAAGTTACATTCCAATTTCTTATGCCACTTTTAAGTTTTGACCGCTTCAATTTTATGTTTCAGATTCATAGCCTGACAGCTCGTAGTATTTCTCGAGAGTTCCGCGAAGGACTACGATGCAGTCATAATGTGATGCGAAATAATGTTTTACTGCCAACGAAGCCTCTTGAAATGAGCAAGGAAGATTCAGGGCACGTTTCAGATGACAGCGGCACTGCATCCCCGACTCCTACCAACATGCCAAAGCTTCACGATAATATAGCCTTTTGGGAGCAAATGACTTTGAACAGTTAGAGTCTCCCTGTAGAATCAACTGAATTCCTACGTGCCATCAAGCAACCATCCATTGTGTAACATAAACGTTCAACTCCTGCCTGAGAGTAATTGATACAATAGCGTTTGGAAAAACCATTGACCTCAAAGAGAGATCCATCTTGCAAAAAGAAAAAGAGGCTATAGAAAATTTCTTACGATAGGTGTGACCGATAATTTGGATCATTCATAACTGCTTTCCCTACTTAAAAAAACTAGTTCCTCACGATCAAACATTACAAAAACAAATTATGCTTCATGTTTTTTTTTTCCTTTATTTATTTTTAGAATAGTGGAATCTTTTATTGGCTTTTGTAAATAAACATTTTAAAGAAAACCAAGAAGAATCAGTCGGAAGGAACTTTTTACACCCAATAAACACTCAAAATTATTTCTCCCTACAAAAAATAGGGTTCAGTCACATATTTCCTTTTAAGAGTACTCTGATGCAAGTTGACTGAGAGCAGAAGAATCGATTTCAAAAAGAGTTTCGCAAAGTGCGACTGAATTTGGCAGATGTTAGTTGAAGGAAGTTAGATTACTTTCTTGCCACAGTCCAACTTATGATCACTCATGGTTCAAATACTGATCCCGGTTTTGTTGCCAATCTTCCCATTTTATCATAAAGATGTTACTTATTTTTCTTTAGTTGAAAAAAAATTGAAGAAAACTCAAGATAATAACTGGCGTAAGAAAAAAAAAAACCATCTGTCATTCTGAAACAAACTTTCAAAGAGAGCTGCATTGTTACAGCTGAGCAAAAAGTTGCCAAGAGACCATTTTTAAAGATTCTTGGCCATTGTTGTTATAAATGTAATAAATTAAGTTTAAAAATGTGTAAGACTTATATTTGTTGATTTATGTAAAAGATATGTAAAAATAAAAAAAAACATATTGTCTTAAAATTTGCATTTCAATGATATATCCATTTTCATTCTTTGAAATAATTCGGAGAGATTAAAAATCAATATGTATTCACAATGTTCCCTATGTGGCAGAAAAAAGCTTAATACTGGCATTTTATTGAATCACAGGTTTTCACTCAACACTTCTAGTTAACAACAATCTCAAGTTGCATTGCAGGGCTAGTTGTTGGATACAAAATGTAAATTGCCCAGTACAAGACCAAGGCATGACCCATGCTGAGAGAGACATCATTCCACAAAACCACACCCGTTAAAATGAAAATTTCTCTACAGTGAAGGAATCGTCTGGTCCAATAAATTTTCTATGTTTGATGAGCACTGCTCGTTATAATGAAAATTTCTCCATTAAGAAAAATCGTTTAGTCCCTTGCAGATTCGTTATTTAGAGGGAGTCCTGCGCAAATAAATTGCAATACGACTTTTTTCATTGGGTGCTACTGCTATTTGGTAGTAATTCACTTTTATTCCAAGCAACCATCTACGAGAGAAGAGATTTCAGCCAACAAACATAAAATTTCAAATAAAATGATTGTTGTCAAGTTGGATTGTAAGCCAGATTATGAGATTTAGATGGAAAAATCTCTCTGACTTCCCAAAGAATAAGTTCCCAGTTGTTTGGTTAAATTTTGTACCGATTGAGGACGTATGGCTAGTGGCTACGTTATAATCCAGTACTCTTGTTTTCTGAACATGGCAGATAAAAATTTTTAATAGCTTTCCCTCAAAGCTACGTGTTAGAACTGCAACATTCAACGTCCCATAACTCTGGTTCGGTTGGACATTTTCAGGCACTGATGACTCAAAATTTGTCCATGAACAGAATATTTTGCAAAATGCAAAAATCATTGGCACTCAGGTTGGCTGAAACTTTGATGCATTTTCCGTTAATTCACGTTATTTAATTGAAAAAAACTAGGAAATACGGTTTACGGACATTTTAGAAATTTTTAATTTGGGACTTTCAGCCTCTTCAAACACCTGTTCCAAACAAAGACCATCAACCACGTCAAATTTGGAATCAATCCGATAAAATCTATCATAAGCGGATGAATGCCAGTCAAAAATTGAAGAACGATGCACTATCAACGACCACTGCCATCTTGCACACACACATTCATACATTAGCAAATGGATATGATAGGATGATGCTGTGTTTTAACACCAGTGCCTAATTAATAGCATTTAAGCTGATGGAATTCTTTAGCTCATCAAAATGTTTAGTACAAAATTTTGTGAGTTATTTTCATTTGAGTTCTTTTGATTTCATTTTTGGCTACATTAAGTTAACCCCATTAAAACCATTTTGATCTCATAATTGAAGCTCTAAATTCATGTTAATTGAGAAATTAACGTAAAATGTGCTTTGCGTTAATCATTACAAATGATCAACATATTCTGGAACCCTCTGCCTCTTGCTTAGAATAAAATTATATTTACTTTATTAAATATTATAATTTATATGTCAAAAAAAAAAAAAATCTCACCATACCACATGTAATTCACGGTTAAAGACTAGGAAACCTTTCCAAAAATACTTTGCTTTGCTTCAACGCATTAGAAATAAGTGCCAAATTCAATAAAGACACATACTTAACAAAAATTAAATAAAATAACTTACTTCTATTAAACATTCGAAAAGCTTTGGCACTAAACATATCACAGCCAACTCGGTTTGATTTAAAAATTAAGTAGGAATATTTCCCAAAATTTAGGAAGGCCAAGATTCATAACCTTGATTGCCACTCCCCTGCATCTGAAACAATCATATAATAAGCATACTAAATTAAAGACAAATGAAGGTAATAATAAATTCATTTGAACACTTTAAAATATAAAAATCTGTATCTTGCCCAGACTTCAGAAAAACAATTTATTTTTCTAATAACATCTCATTTAATTTGCCTTGATTTTTAAGCCCTGTCTACCTCAAGAGAGGAGTTTGTAACCTTTTATGATATCATAGGATTGTATCTGTGCTACGTCTTGGTTCCTTCATCTCTTAAAATCAGGACTTGTTTCATCATCAGCTAATTGATTGATTGAATAAATTTTTTCTTCTCAAAAAGAGTATATATTCTAGATGTAATTCTACTAGACCGAGAGCTCATGACGATTCGTTCAACCGGAATAATATAAATTTGCCACCCACCTCATTCGAAGCGGATTTTGGTGTGTAAAAAGAAATAGGCGGTCTGGCAGGTCAAACCGGTTGCAATAAGAAAGTTTTAGGCCCCTAAAAAGCCCAAAAATTGCTCGGATTTTGACCGGAAACATATACACTTGATATTGGGCTCATTTAACGCGGAAAACCTTCCTGATTAAGGATCAGTCGGTCTGGCAGCCGAAATCGGTTGCTTAAGGGCCGCCAGACCGGTTCAAAGTTGGAAAAAAAGTGCTCGAATTTCAACCGGAAACATATACATTTGATNAACAGTGGTTCAAACCCACAGGCGCTATTGCACCAAGTACTCCTACAAAATCGACAGTGGCCTTTAAATTGAAAATCCTGACTAAATGTGTTCCATAAAAAATTGCTGTGATCCTAATTTTTCTGATTGGTGATTTTTCATCAATCAACACAGCACTGAATTTGTAAGGCAAGCAGTTGCACTAGAGGAAGTGCAGATTGAGAGAAATTGCTTTAAACTTTTCACTAAACAACGCACCCATGATATATGGGCATAAATTCAACGTTGCTTCTGAAGATCTTTCAGGAGCCATGTTGTCACTGCAATTTGAACTTAATGGCCCAGACGGCTCCTAAAACTCAAATGTGAATTCGGAGCACTGATTTTAAATATGATTTAACGATCAGCAGGCTACCTACTCGAGATAACTAACATAGTTTGACACTTAATGCAGAGATTCATTCTTTCTCCCCAAAATCTATATTGAAGATATGATAGCTACTGAAATAGGTGTACCAGTGAGAACTCCATCAATCTTTCATTCTGACAGATGGTCGAAGAAAAGAAAAAAGTTTACCTCATAATCTGTATGATGGTCAGGGCGCTCGACTTTAATTCTTTTTAAAGAGGGTGCATCACTAATCCTTGCACTTGGAGCTTTTAGATTCTGTCGATCATGAATATTAGAGGTATGGCAAGAATTCGATACCTAAAGAAAGCATAAAAGGGAATATGATCAAATCAGTACCATAAATGGGTTAGAAAATGAGAATGTGCTGAAATTTTGGTACAAATATTATTCTTCACTAGGACATTTTTATTGTTCATGATTTAAACTATTGAGAAATTTGAAACTAGCTAGAATCCATGTCATAAGTAGTCATATTTTTTGAGTGAAAAAGAGGGTCAACTGCCTTTAGTTGAGCATTGAGAGTGAATGAAAATTTCGAGATGGAGGATCTTCTGTCGCAATCTAAAATTTTGGCATAGACAACATACATTTACACATAAATGCAGAAATTGCATCAAAATATGCATTTAAGAAATGCAGGCAAACTTTACTTTTTTTTTGCTTCTTTCAAATTTGTATATGGTTGACCTTTGGATAAAGTCAATCAGCTTGAACGTATTACTTTCTACAACAGAAAGACAAAACTTCCTTGATATTAGGGAATGAGCGAAGAACAGGTTTTCCTTATTTACTTATGATCTTTGAATTTCAATAAATAAGTAATCCTCTTTAAAGGACATACATATTTCGAGGAGGGCATAGATTGCATACAACAATCAAACTCACTGAAAGAGATTCAGTGAGTTTGAGGTTTAGGAAATTCAAAAATCGAAGAGTCATAATTTAATCTTAATTGGATGGGAAAACATTATGATACACTCAATTGATAAAATACTTTCAAAATACCAAATGGAGCTGAACTGAAAAATAAGTTTAGGGGGAAAAAAAAAATATTACCCAGTATAATAGTGACATCCTTAATTTATTATTTTCCATGTGTCTGTATTGCATGCTTAAAAATGAAGTTTGCTCAATGTTGAATGAAGAGTAGAATGAAATGAGGAAGGGTGCAAAACTGATTTTATACTTACATCCACATCAACACCACTTTGGCGATGAGATTTTCTGCTCCTTCCTTCATTTTGATGATAGTTACTTCTAATTCGAGCTGAATAATTTAGGTCACTATTCGATGAATCACTGTATTTGGTCCTACTAGATGACTGATTGTCTGGCATTCTAAGGTTTTCAATCAAGTCTGAAACAGTCGTTGAATATGGTTATTTAAATTGTAAAGTTTCAAAAGCCCATTAGAATGGACTATCTGAATGTGCTGGCAGAATTTAAATGTTCTTGTACTATTTACTCATCACTAAAATGTAAACTTTTGTTTGTTTACAATTTAAAGTTGACGTTTATGAAAAGAATGGCTTTTAAAATTACAGGGAGTATTCAGAAATGAAGTCAAGTTCTTAATACCAACAAATGAAATGCCTGCTCTTGAAATGGACCCAAAAGACAAAAAGCAACTGAAGACTTTAGAGAGGATTTTTTTTTATAAACAAGGAATATTGCTGTAGCTAACATAAAAGTTACACCATGTTTTGAAAACTTAGGATTTCTATCTAAGCTCTAAGTTAATGACAAAGGTAGAGGAATTTAGAGTTCTTGAAAAGTAGTGCAACTTTTTAGTTAGATAAGAAAAAAACACAAAAAATGTGACCTCAATTGTAAGTAATGAGGTAGTAGAATACTGCTGAATAGACACACTATTTTGATCTAAATCGATATAGGTCTTTTAGAGTGACCCCAGCTTAACTTGTCAATGCATCTGCCTCAGCTGAGCACTCTTCCCCTTAGTTTTGTGCTGATATTCATTCGTATTCAAACTTTTAAATAGAATTGAAATTTGTATAACTTATGGCCTTGTTTCCCCTGCAAAATAGTGTGGGCCCAGAGGTATTTTACCACCTTGTTTCTTTTTATTTAGTTAAAAAGCTAATCACCTTTGATTTGCAAGCATTCAGCTGCGGCTAAGAGCATAGGTAATCTCTCTATACTTATTTTAAGTTCACCGGTATAAATGAAGTCTATGATGGTTCGAAGTTCCCAGAACTTTACATCCTTTAAGAAAACCAAGGGATGCTGGCTTGGATTTTCGAAAAGTAGTTCGTCAAAATAATGTGAGCAAGCACACAACATAAGCTGAAACAGCCACAAATACAAAAAAAAAAATTAAATACAATTTTAGTAGGCAAGAGAAGGAAGAAACCTGAATTTTCTTCATTAATGAGAAAGTATTTAAGTCAAAAGCAAACAGTTAAATCAGGCATTTTATCAAATACTGGATATCAAATCCAGGGATGGTCAAATTTTTATACTTTTCAAAGTTTCATGCGCTTCTAATGAAGAGCAATTACATTTTCAAAATTTTAAAAGTGAGAACTCATCAAATCTATGAATTTTTTCTGCATTTTCTTCTCCAAATGCTCCTCGTATACATGCGCCTTTGCAAAATTTTGATTGGCAATTTTTTTTCCCCCCCGTTTCTCACCAATTTTTGGAAAGAACAGTGACGATCACCTGTATTTACTTTTTTTCTTACTTTTACCAATGAAATTGAAGTGTGATTTCCTGCAAAAAGTAACCATTTGGATTGTATGCATTTGCAGTCTTAATTCTGATTTTCTTACCTTTCAGCCAAAGTATCACAAGTGCCATTATTGTTTATTATGCTATGTGGCCAGACATCTCAATATTATAATAATTTTTTCTTTCAAATGAGCATTCTTTTATGAAAATTACAGGGATTAATCTTGATGAAAAAAGAAATATGAAGTTAAATTTTTAGGTGATTTTGTTCGTTGCTTTTCTGTGAACAATTGGACAGTTCGAGAAGTTTGGCAACAAAATGCCTGGGCACTGGTGACGCTTGTAATACTTCGGCCAGAGGGTGACAATTTAAGTTTGTCTCTATCACGTTAAAGTAAATATTTGGAAAATTTTAAATCATTCTCTGCACAACTTACTTGATGGCATTTAATTCTTTTCCCTTCACAAGCAATTGTAATATCAGTCATTCGTCCTGTGGAGAACATACTGAAAAACCGTTTCCGTAGATTACTGTCGTATTCAGCACAACGAAAAAATATTTCAGGGGAATTCGAATTAATGTCTGGCGTAGATGCTTGAGATCCTAATCCTCCAACTTCATGAGACGACAGTGAGTCCGAGTTAGGAAAGCCAGGTGATGTAACAGTTTCGACAAAACTCATTTCAGGCCTCGAATCATCATCATACGATAGAAAATCAAACATATTGTAACCACTGGATCCTGAAATGGACGAAAAAGTTGTTAAATACAATAATGATTTTGGAGAGGGAAGCCTTTAAGAACTTGAAGTTGAAAAAATATTAGTTTGAACGTAAAAACTAAGCCATTAAATTAATTATAACCTTGGACAGTCTTCAGAATTTCTGACTCATGCAACAGTTGACTGAAGGGATAAGCCAATCAATATTACGATTTCATGATTCAAAAAGAATGTGCATTCCAGCTTGAATTTAAAGCACTAAGATAGGAAGGCAATGAATTATCGAGGCGTAAAATTAGAGAGGGGGATAAAAGTTAGAAAGGGTAAGTTGGAAAGAAGTTAGGAATGATAGGAGTTAAAAATCACATATTCTATCTTGATTTCATTACCTTCTCCAGCTCCAGAATACTGTGATGGCTGGTTCCCTTTCTGCCTCTTCAAGCTGACAGTCAAACCACTTCCTAAAAGAATTTTCCTTATGTACAAATACTGCTCTTGGAGTTTTCCTGCGGCGTAGTGCCTCTCACCACTTGGTCCCACTTTAAAAGGAGAATACCATTTCTCTGCCTCAATTGAGGGAAATACTTGTACAAGCAAATCTCTTAATATTAACAATTTGGCTGATGTGATCTTACTCCTACTGTCACACTGTAATTCGTGAGTAATTACAATCTTAGAAACTTCTTTCTCGTAAAATTTGGTTAAGCACTGATTTGACTCATAATAAGATAGAATTCCGCAACCAAGAATAGAATCTCTGAGAAGTTGTTTCAGGTCATCTACGTTACTGAGACTTTCTTTCAGACTTGTGTTTTCGGAATCAGCAGACAAGTTTTGGGCTATGGTTTCTAGAATGGAATCGTTTCTAATAGCATCATGAGACGGTGGCTTGTATCTCATGCCGGCAACATTGGATGGGCGTTGTAACTGCGAGTTGATAGCCATTGTTGGTTCCGAGTTGCTAACTACTTCGTCATTTTCATGGGAAACAGATTCATCAGACTCCTATCAACAAATAGAAGAGTAAATAAAAATTAACGATGAAGAAATGAAGGCTATTCAAAACCTAGAAAAAAGATAATTTGTCTTGTATAGGTATATTTTGTAGAACTTCCATGCATCTATAATTTCGAGAATTTTATTCTGTTCAAAGAATATTCTAAGAAAATTGCAAACTGAGAAGTTGCCTTAAGTATTTTTGTTGTGAAAAAATGAAACTAGAGCAAAAATTTTGAAACACAGAGATCAAGATACTGCGCTTTTGAGTTCAGCCATTAATATGATTACACAAGAAGGAAAAGCTGGGAATTTCTTGAGATTTTACGCACAACACCAATGAAACAAACTCAATATTTTTCGAGAGGATTGAAATGTTTTTACAGTTTTTTTCACTCTCTTAAATAATAATTGAACGATACTGAGCTATACGAATCTATCTACATTCGCAATTTTTAAGGAGGACCTAATACTTCAAAGGTAGATTTGGTGTTGAGTGAAGTCAGATACAGACTGAGTATAGAAATATAATTAATCATAAAAAAGGTGATAAATGAAACACGCAGTGATACTCTCAAGAAATGTGTCAAATTTTCATCAACATCAGTAATGATGTCACTTTCTTTGACAACAAAAAAAAACAATGAACACTTTTCATTATGGACAAGGATGTTACTGCTAGAGTCAAAAATACGATTCTCAAATCAATTTTCATGTTGCTGAGTCATAATTGAACTAATCTATAATTGAGCCGTCAAAAAACAAAGTTTCACCTTAGATGAGGCTGCTTCTTGTGCCGCATTCTTATTTTTCCATTCTTCAAGTTTGCAACGAAACCTAATTTTGCTACCTACAGTTGGAAAAAATGATAAATAATCTTTATCTTCCAAGCCTTTCAAAAGTTCCAAGTCAATATCTGCTTCTGAAAACAAAACAAAAAAATCCATAAACAACAGTTCGACCAAACAAGTTCCATTAAAGAAAGAGAATGTCCATGACAATGCTTAAGGAGCTTTGCAAAGTTCCATGACTGAATATTCTCTTCTAAGTGGCTTTGCCTAAAGTACATAATACTCAATTAGCAATTATTCAAATTGCAAATGGCAATGGTCACCGAGGGCTGAGTGTAAAGGGAGAGGGGGAATAAGCGCAGGATTGACCTTGAGGGCTATTTAAAAATNGGGGGGGGGGGGGGTTTGGATCATGTTATTCTTAGCTCAATTCTCACGCTTGGAGCATGAAGTAGTAATAGAAATGGTCCTTGATGCCTCTGCATGACCTTATAAATGATAGAATGAGAAAATGAAGAAGAATGTGAGGAAATATTCAAAGAGGACCAATTCTCAATTAGTAAAAGCAATAGTTTCTCTGTGTTATGGTCAAAATTAATTCAATGAAAAGATGCGCTTATGAAGGTCAAGGTAAATTTGTGTATCATCAATATCATCGACCATACCTAATTAAACATACTTTTTTTTTTCAATCCTAGTAGGAAAAGGAGTTTAAAGATGAGATTATAACAATGTTTCCAGTAAAAAGTATACAACTAATATACTTACCGGCGAAAAGGGGTGTCAACAGATCAACACTTACCGATAAATTTGTCAATTATGTTTTGATCAACACTCCAAGATTTAAGAAGCAATTCCATCATCAAAACATAGAAGGCGATATCACAATTCTACAGAGTATATGTGTTTTGCGCAAAGCTTTGAGTCCCATCTGCATCAAAGAAAATTTGATTCATGAATTAAATGTGTAAGTAAATTGATTGATGTAAATAAAATAACTATGTTTCTGTTCTTCCTAGTGTAAGTAAAGGTGCTCATTGCTCATAGGCGGAAGTTACTCTAGACTGTGCTTATATAATTGACTGAAGAGTTTTTCAGACTAGTGACTGCTGCTTAAAAAAGGAGTTGTCATGAAAAGTTTGCATGGTGTATGTATGTAATCATGCTGTCAAACCAGTCGAAACTCTTCCTTCGTTAAGCAGGAGAGGTTTTTCACGGTAAAAATAACTGGGAAGCATCAACAGCATGCTTCATACAAGAGCTTGTTTTCTTTGAACATCCTTGTATATTTCAGTAGCAGTGACGATTTGAGATATGGTAAGAACTTGTGCATGCTTGAAAAGTTTCAAGACATTTTAGAGACGGTGTGCAGGGTTTAGCGACGTTACACTTAGCAGCTAAGTCATGATTTTACCCACTTAAATCCTGACACCTTCTTCTTCACAACTTCTTGATGAATTGCAGAAAAAGACAACGTTCCAAGTTAGCAGCTGCTGAACTGATTGGTGCAGAATTTACAATGGGAATTGTGAAGGTATGTACATATGATACATTCCCATAGTACCTAACATGAACAAATTGCGAAGTATTGGAATTGGTGAAGACTTGTTGCTGAGATAAATGATTGCAAACTGATCATACTACCATATCCCTCTAGTTTTGGGCAAATCCAGGCGCATTCAGGTAATAATTCTGGGCAAAATAATAGTTGAACTTACAAATAAGGTGATATTCCATGAAGTTTCTAAGGGATAGCAGCTCCAGGAAACACTTTAATTTCACACACGCAGTCAAATTTGACAAGACTAGAGGGTAAACTCAACTTATCTAACATATACAGACGGTAAAATGTAAAGGGAAGGGAAAATTTTATTGGTTTCATGACATGGATAAGAATAAAATAGGGCGAGACGGGAGAGAAATTTCATAACATAACCTTAAAACAGCATTCAGCAAGCTTTGAGCTTTTTCATCAGATGCGTGAACGGCCAATCAAATCCGTTCGCGCGCTATTTGCAGCGCGGTATTCGATGGATTACGAATTTTGGCGCAAGATTTCAAAACGTCGCTCTTTTCTCACAACGTACGACATTTAATCGTTAGTTAAAAGTTAGTAAAAATCTAAAGTTAAGCGATCAGACAAAACATCAGCAATATAAGCAACATATATTTGCAGTGTTATGGCAGCATTTATCTTTACTATAAGCTCTCTGACCCCCTAAATAAGTTCGTGCTAAAACAATAGTAACGGTGTTGCCGTGTTGCTGGAGAAACTAATTATTGCTGCAGTACTTATCAATGTTCTCAAATTGTGTTGGGAAAACCAGTGTTCCCACTACGGTGCTTGCGATCGGCTCTTGATCTACATTCTCTCTTGTAAAAAGGAAAGGATGAGAAAGAAAATCGGAATATATCTCTCAACTGCAGGTACTAATTTTTCTTATCATAAGGCTGGTCATATTTAAGAACACAGCCGAAAATAAAACGTTGAATTTTATTTTAAAAACTGACTTATTTTCAGGGTGAGTAGGTACTCAAAAATTATCCCTTAGCTGTTCGGTTTGTCCAGTATGTCGATGAAGTCCTCGTCTTCGTTGCTCGTACATGTCATTTTTTTTTCTTTTTTTTTTTTTTTTTTTTTTTTTTTTTTTTTTTTTAATTTTTTGTCAATTTTTAGGGGGAGTTTTTTAGGATTGGGCCGGGGTGGCTACCGCCACCTAGAATTTAAATGCTCTACTCCCTCCTCTCTCAGTTCTCCAGCCATGTGCCAATTAATTTTTCAAAATTATGATTAAGGTGCGCGGTTTTGAAATCAAGAAAATTACACACCGATCGGTGCCTAAGGCATTTTATCATTCCAATTTTAACATAAGTTTCTTTCGAAGGCTTTTCCTCAGTAAAAACAGGGCGTTTCAGCTTACATGGCTGCTTGAAAAGTAGTAGGCCGTGTTTTTGGAGTTCTTCTAAAGTGATGAAAAGATGATCAACGGAAATTTGCCTCTTTGAGTACAGTTTTTTGGTTTTATCACCTCCGGAACCTAATGAAATGTTAGGAAAATATTTTTCCGCGTGTTCAAACGGAGAGTAAGCACAATTTTTTTTTTTTATCATGAAGGAAATCTGCTCTGAAGGATGCACTAAATCAGTGATACTTTAAAAAAAGAAATTCATTCGGAGGGTGAGATTGTACGTTCCTCATCTCTGTTTTTGTGCATTTTTTCGCCGCGATGCGCTTTTCTTAGAATAAAAAACAATTTTTGATTATGGGGACAGGTTACTCAATGGTAAAAATTGGCAAATAAAGATTTTTGTAAAAAATAAGTCGTCGGCCCAAGTTCTAAAAATGATTCGATTGGTCTACAAATTTACAGGAATAACCTGGGGAGCTGAACTTTTCCTACTTTTTTTACTTTTAGCATACAAATAAGCCGCGCCGTAGTAGAGTAAGCCAGCAGAGCTACACTGAAAAAAATAATATGCTGTTTTAGCATCTAGGATGTCAAAAATGTGTCTGGTGATCCTAATATGCTGCCTTGACTGCCCACGCAGTTGAATTTGCATTCACAGGATGTAAAATTAACTTCGGGGGCTGGAAAGGCAGCATCTTGGGACCACTAGACACATTTTTGACATCCTAGGTGCTAAAACAGCATATTATTTTTTTCAGTGTAAGTCTTTCACTTTAAAAATAATAAATAAATCAAGATAAAAAAAAAAAAAAATAGAAATACCTTGATGCAGCCTATTGTAGGCTCTATGCATAATTTTCTGAAAAGGTTAAGCCAGTCTTACGCAATTCAAAAGAGAAAAAGTGGAGGAGAGAGGTTTTAAGAAAATCGGCCGAACAATCGAACGGCCCCCTAAAAGGCATCCCTTAGGTGATTCAATGGACGATATATTTTATGTCAAAACGACATTCGACATATCGCATCCATTAGTTCCATTTTTTAGGTACTCGTCATTTTTCTTGAATTTTGAGATAGCAATTCTGTTGTCAGGAGACTAAAGAATTCACTTACCAATTTTGACAAACAAATTCAACATAATGAAGGCGTGGTTTTTTAGAGGAAAAAGATCGTATTCGAGTGCAGTTTCGATATCAGTATCGAATGCGATATTTTTCCTCCAAAAACCCACTCCTTTATAATGCTGAATTTGTCTGTCAAAATTGGTGAGAGATTTCTTTAGTCTCCTGTCAACAGAAATGCGATCTCAAAATTCGAGTAAAATGATAAGTAGCTGAAAAAATGGGACCGATAGCTGCGATGTATCGCATGGCGTTCTGACGAAAACTATGGCGTTCATCGAATCATCTTAAACAGTGAGACGAAAAGGAACCGAGCCCATTAATGAGCCCTCGAAAAATAAACCGAGGAGACACGATCCCTCCCAGAGAGGCTTTGCCCTACCTGATACAGAGCAGGGCACTGCACTCTCCCCTTCACAACCCCTCCAGGGTGGTATGGATTTCAATTTGAAAACATAATTGGAGGGTCGGTGGTTGGTGCTATGTAATTTACTGAGCGCTGCCTTCTCTTGGGACCACGCGCAAGAAGCGAAGAAACCTCACGCCACGGCCCCAGTTCCGCGGACGCCGTAAACACACGGCACGGCCTCACAAGTATTCCAGTTTCTACACACTGTTAAAAAAAAGTATTAGGATAGCAGGAGCGAAACAGCGGTCGCTGCTCGTCTGACTAGCAGCGCTCCATTGACTGACTCGGCGTTCACCTTCGTCTTCGCTTATTATTATCGTTGGTGTATGACCTTTTTTTCATCGTTTTTTTGAGCAGGATGTAAGTGCAATGAGGGTCTCGTACGATGAGTATGGAAGTAACTTTACATTCGACCGAAATTGAACTATAAAATATCTTTGGATTTTTTTCTTACGAGATAAAATGGAAAAGAATATTTCTCCACCATTGACTGACTTTACCTTAGTCCTCGCTTATTATCGTTAGTACGACCCCTTTTTCATTGTTTTTGGGCAGAATGTTTATGCAATGAGAGTCTTGTATGATAAGTATTAAAGTAATTTTAAATTCGACCGTTGTCTATCAAAGATTCGTGGATTTTGGTAGAATAACATTTTTCTTATGAGATAAAACTGGAAAAAAAAAAAATTCTTTTAATATGACCCATGGTGGAAGAATGCGTCGAGTTATCGAAAACGAATTTCGTTAAAATGCTTGTATCACTTTCAATTTTTAGACGGAGCTATATCTTGTCTCATCTCGCCATTGAAGCCAAAAATGATTTCGAAGGCCAGGCTGCAGATTTGATCGGGAGCTCAACTGGATCAATCGGACAACATTTCGCAATTAGGAGCTACAATTTCTGCCTTGTTTTAAAAGCAACATGAGCGTAATTAGTTCCCCTCTGCATATGAATGTTTTCATCCATGAGTCAGAATTGTAGTTACTCATTGCAAAACGTAGTCCAATTCATCGCTTCCCAAACGGAAGAAAGTGACTTCATTTCAACGCTACATTTCCAATCGTAAATTATATTTTCATTTGGAAAATATTGGGCACTTCAGACAGAAATTCCATTAATTTTTCTCCTGAGTGCATGCAAAAAATAGGAACATTTTGAGCAAAACCGACTTAGGTTTTGTCAAAAAATAGCTATCCCTACAATCAGTGTATGTAATCGCGTATGTATACTGTAATCAGTGTATACAATCAGTGTGTGTAATTACCGAAATCGATCATCGATTTCGATGCTCCGCGAGGATCTATCTGAGAAACACCCCGTAGAGTGTTCCTCAAAAACTGAGAAGGGGCCTGGGCAATTTTTAAAAATGTAGACTCTCTCATAAGGCATTTTAAATATTCAGTACTTTTCGTCCCCTAATTTACTAAAAATGAAATGGAATTCCAATTGGGAAAAAGTACGAGTTCTTTTATTGTCTTCGACCAGCAGTGATTATCTCCACGTTTTTACATTCTAACCCTTAGATGTTCAGACCTTTCCTTATACCTGCGCAGAGAGTAAAGTCGGGTCAATTTGGTCCGCAAAAAAATTACATTGATTTTGATAGCTTTTGAAATATTCTTTATGTTATTACTATATTTTTGAAGTTGAATAATACTTTTTTTGAAATTTCCATCTCTTTGACAACCTAATGGCGCTTTCTCACTCCAGTTCGACCTCCCTCCTCATCCGCCAAATGTCACTCCTCTTGAGGGGATATGGCCGGGTCAGTTTGACTCGGCATGAGATTTCTGGGGGTTGTCATCAAAACAAAACATAAAAATCCCTGGCACAACACAATGTACATGCACAACACTGTACATGCACAACTCTCGCCTAAATGACAAGTTTCAGGCAGGCGTCACCTTTGGGGATACTTGAGAGACTCCCAAACAAATTTTCACTATTTTTTTCAGAATGATTATTAATTGAATCAGTGAGTTCGAAGACACACCAACTCGAAAAAAAAAAAAAAATTGTTCAGGAAACACCTAAAACTGCGCAGCGGGCGAAGAAGTTAGTTTAAGAAAACCCTTTTTGGTGCCAGGACAAGTACTTAGAGACATTGTAAAGCACCAAGTTGAAATCGATACACCATGTTTGATGACAGAGAATTAAGCGTTTAATTTCCGAGTTGGTGTGTTTTCGTTCCCACCGACTTTCAGATACTGATTTTTCATAGTCTGCCTAGAAAAATTTATATTTTTCGACCTGAATAACGCTTGAATATTTATATAACTTGTTGGTACAAGGTATACTGAACCGAAAAAAGAAAACCGCAAGATCGGATGGTCAACCGTTTTCCTTGAAATGGCCAAAAATTGGAATTTCCAATGAAATACTTCGATTTTTCCCTTTTCCCGTTGCTGTTTCGAGCACTTCCGATTGCAATTTCGAAATTTCCTTTTACATGCAGATGCTTCTATCCATAAGTGTAACTAAACCGTAAAAAAGTGAACCT